GCATCAGCGTCAGCCAACAGTGCGACGGCCATGCCGATTGCAGCGACGGCGACGACGAAGAGCACTGCGACGGAAGTGAGTAGCCAGTGATCGAATCATCCAGCCATTGAGCCCATTATCCCACCATCAACTTGTGTCATTCATCTTTGGCTCCACTTCAATCTTTGTGTCTCCCCATGCTGCCCCGCACCGCCTTGGTACAGTTGTGCCCAAGCTGCGGTATACCTGCCCCAAGGGCAAGTTCACCTGCAAGGATCTGAGCTGCATTTCGATTGTTCATCGATGCGATGGTCGCGCCGATTGTCCCCACGATCGTTCCGACGAGGAGGGCTGTCGTAGGTGTTCCCCGCCAAATGGCACACTCACTTAGACACCCTTCTCTAGTCCACCACTCTCTCTTTGCCTCTCTCTCTCTCTCTCTCTCTCTCTCTGCTTCCCCTGTGTAACTATCTCGCGTTTGGACGCAGCCTGTCTGTACGACAAGTGGCAGTGCGATGATGGCACCTGCATTGCCAAGGAGCTGCTCTGCATCCAAACATTTGTATCACTTAGGGTATTGTAATCTACACCAAAGCCTCTATGGCTGTTATTTTCATATATTGTACGTGTATAATCCCCGCTTATTGCTGGCTCTTGAATTGGCTTTTGGCTTTAAGCTGTGCTCTGATTACCGCTCCTGCTCCTCCTGCCACCTCTAATGTTCGCTTAACTTTTCTTTGCTTTTAATTAGCCTTCTGCTCGCGGCTCTCTCACTCTCTTTGTCATCCATTCCACTGCTACTCTCCCTGCCACCACCGTTTCTTTCTCGCTCGCCTTCTCTGTAATCAAATCCGCGTTGCGTCACAAAGTATTTCCATCGCATACTTTCGCGGAGTGCGCGAAAAGAGCGACAAAAATTATCTAAAAATATTTGTAAAATTGCTTAAATTGTTGTTTATTTTTTTCCATCCTGTTGCTGTTGTTGCTGTATGAAATATTAGGCGAGTCGCAGGCGACAGAGAGACAGCGAGAGGCGAGCAAGGGTTCAAAAGGGCAAAAAGGGACTGACTGGAAACATGCACAGGAAACTGTGGCTAACGATGATGTTGCTGTTGCTGTCGCTGCTGCTGGGGCATGCCCCGCACACCATTTCATTCCGAGTGGAGTGTGAAGGGGTTCTGGGGGGTTGTCTATCACACAACACCGAAAAAACACCTAACAAACTTTTGCTTTCAAGTTGAATGAAGTGTCAACCGAGAGTCTGGTTTTGGTTCTCGGTTCTGGGTTCTGGCTTCTGGGTTTGGGGTTTTGGTGTTTTTTTTTTTGCCTCAACTGGAAGGAAGTGCTTGTTAAACTGCATCCGGCTGTCATCTAATTGCAGACACACACAGATCAAACTCTTGTGTATTTCGTATTTATTTATGGGTTCGTTTTATCATCTTTTGATTGCAGAATGCCAGCCGAATGAGTACCGTTGCCGCAGTGGACATTGCATTGATGCTGGAAAGCGCTGCGACTACCGCGTGGACTGTCCCGATGGTGACGATGAGAACGAAGAGTGCCGTAAGTGCCACCAGCTGGGGTCTGCCCTGGGCCTACCCTCAAGTGTTTATAACTGTAGAACCACCTGTATTCCGTATTCCGTATACCATATCCTGTATCCTGTATCTTGTATCTAGTGCTAATGACTGATCGAACATCGATCGAAAACCGATAGGCTAAGACACAACCATTTCTTAGCTGTAAGCCGGGGGTGTCCCTCTTTTGCTGACTACTAACCAAAAAACATCTCTCTAACCTATGTATCTCTCTCTCTCTCTCTCTCTCACCTTGTGTATATTTGCTTGCCCCCCTCAACCCCCGAACAATAACTGCAACAACCATATCGATATATATATACTAACAACCTGCCACACCAACAAACAACAACAACTAACCATAGCCGCCGCCTGCAGTGGCATGGAGTACCAGTGCCGCGACGGCACACGCTGCATCAGCGTCAGCCAACAGTGCGACGGCCATGCCGATTGCAGCGACGGCGACGACGAAGAGCACTGCGACGGAAGTGAGTAGCCAGTGATCGAATCATCCAGCCATTGAGCCCATTATCCCACCATCAACTTGTGTCATTCATCTTTGGCTCCACTTCAATCTTTGTGTCTCCCCATGCTGCCCCGCACCGCCTTGGTACAGTTGTGCCCAAGCTGCGGTATACCTGCCCCAAGGGCAAGTTCACCTGCAAGGATCTGAGCTGCATTTCGATTGTTCATCGATGCGATGGTCGCGCCGATTGTCCCCACGATCGTTCCGACGAGGAGGGCTGTCGTAGGTGTTCCCCGCCAAATGGCACACTCACTTAGACACCCTTCTCTAGTCCACCACTCTCTCTTTGCCTCTCTCTCTCTCTCTCTCTCTCTCTCTGCTTCCCCTGTGTAACTATCTCGCGTTTGGACGCAGCCTGTCTGTACGACAAGTGGCAGTGCGATGATGGCACCTGCATTGCCAAGGAGCTGCTCTGCAATGGCAACATCGATTGTCCCGAGGACATATCCGATGAGCGCTACTGCGAGGGTGAGTAAATGTAGAAAAACGAAATGTTATGCTCAATGGCACTTTGCTGGGACTGCTTGAAGGTAAGTGTCCTCTCGCTTTCTCTTTCTCTCTCTCTGGCCCTTGTTGTCCCTGTCATGCATCGAATCACAAACACAGCACACACAACGCACACCACCACACACCTCACACCTCACACTAACCCCAAAAAGGAACATGAGTGATATAACAACCGTCATGCAGGTGGCTTTGGTGTCGATGACGATGGGCAGTGTCGGTTCGATGAGTTCCGATGCGGCACTGGTGAGTGCATACCGATGCGTCAGGTGTGCGATAACATATACGATTGCAACGATTACACAGATGAGATTAGCTGTGGTAAGTCCAGAGGGAGTACAGCACTCTCCCTCTTTCTCTCTCTCTTTCTCTCTCTGTGTCGTTGTTTCTGTACCTCTGCGTCTCTGTGTGTGTGTATATCTATCGATAAGCTATCGATTTTTCCTTCTCTTGATATGTGTCTTTTGTTGTCTTTTGCTTTTGCTACTCCCTCTGCTCCTCCTTTTTTGGGTAACTAAAATCCTTGGTGATGGTAAATCGTATCTATTTTGTGTGCTCTCCTCTCCACTCTCAACTCTCCACTCTCCACTCACCACTCCTCTTTTCCCGACGTTTCCCACCGCTATGCTTCGCAACGATAGCCAATCGTTATCGGCAACTATCGCTTGCTTTACGTGCTGTACGCGATAAGTGATAAGTGTGTCCTAGAACGAGGGAAAGCTCTCTCTCTCTCTCTCTCTCGTGTCTCTCTTTGATTTTTGCAATTTTAACACCAACAATTTTATTTCTCTTCCCTCGCCCCATACCCAACAAAAACCCCTCTCGGTTATGGTATCGAATGTATAAACAAAAACCAAATTCAATCCAACAAAATTAATCGATTAATCGCACGTCAACCCTGTACTGGAACCAAAAAACTCAACTGCGAATGCAACTGCAACAACAACCTACAACATCATCTTTGGCTCGAAACAACAACAACAACAAAAATACAAAATTCTTGCATGACCCCAACCCCAAATGAAAATTCCAATAAAAACCCACGGGCTGCATGCGGTTGTCTCGCTCCACCCCCCCGCCTCAAACATAACAACCCTTAACCGAATCCATCAATGCGGGCAATGCATGCTGCTTACCCTGAAATCTGTGGACATCAGATATCCTCACCAACGAGGAGGAAGACGGGCTTGGCATACCTTTCGAACGGCGTCGACCAGCGCCCAAGTTGGGACGCAACAACGACGGTGAGCTGAGCACCGAGTACCTACCGGTGGGCAGATACGACAAGGCTGATCCCGAGAACAATTGCGCCTCCAATCAGTTCCACTGCGTCAAGACGGGCGTGTGCATAATGCTGCATCTGCGCTGCGATGGCTTCTACCACTGCAACGACATGAGCGACGAGGCGGACTGTGAGCAGTATCAGGCGCCGCCAAAGACGCGCAAGCCGCCAACGGTCAGCGTCACCACCCGATCGCCGTGGGTCGTCTCCCCCGATGCGCTCGAGCGGCGCACCACGGAGGGAGCAAGAAGCGAAGGAGGAGGAGGAGCAGTAACGACACGACCACCACCACAGACTGGCACTGCCACTGCCACAGCCACTAACCCAATAACAACGACCTACCCAGTAGCAACAGCAACAACAGCAACACCCAAAGCGACGAGTAGGTGTCCTCCCATAGATGAAGTTTCTGTGGATTTTGTATACTTTCTGGGGGACATTGGTGAAGGGTAGCGCGTACTCGCAGGGGTGGTAAACGGTTAACCGATTAACCGACAGAAGTGCATGCCATGTTTGAAACATTGAAACCTACTTTAGCTTTTAATTTGTTCTCGTTTTTTTTTTTTACATTATTTCTTATAATTGATATCCCTCATACGTTTGTACATCGTTCTCTCTATCTCCAGTGCCACACATTCTCTGGCTAACTCTATTTCAACCACCTTATCTCTCTCTTTCTCTCTCTCTCTCTCTCTCTCGGTCTCGTTCTGGCTTGTTAAATTATTATTGCCATGATTATATGCCTTGTTGTGTCACCCATCCATCAACACCACCAAACCAAACCAAAACAAAACAAAACAAAACAACAAATACATTTAGCCTACTCATCATCATCATCGTCATCGCCATCATCAGGGACAAGCAATTGCCTCGAAAACATCGAATTCGCGTGCCACAATCGCGATTGCATACCCATTGAGAGCGTCTGCGACGGCACCGTTGACTGTGGCCATCACGAAGACGAGGATTATGCTCTGTGCAACTGCAGCAGCGACAAGGTGAGCCACCGCCACCTCCAAATCCAACTCCATATCCATCCATTCATACATACCCATCCATTCATCCATCCATTCACACATACACATACTGTGCGTTGTTTAGTTTTCGAATCTGATCGATTGTTGACCGACTGCCATCTGCTAGTCTACGCTCATAGATAGAACAAACTGAACGGATTACATTCGACTTACATTCCATCGATAAGCGATAATTCCTGTCGATAAATGACACCGATAAGCATATCCATAACCTAAAATTGAATGCCAATCGATGACTGGCTTCAGTCGATAACTAGTGGCAATCGATGACTGACTTAAATCGAAAACTAATGCCAATCGATGACTGACTTAAATCTATCACTTATACCCACCAATGACTGATTGTAGACTGACTTCATCTGGCTGCTGACTGAATTTGATTCAAGTGTTTTCCCGCACTGTATCTCCCATACACACGCACACACGCACACACGCATACCATCATCATCCATCTCACACACATACTCATGCATTTTGTTCATGCAACACACAGTACAAGTGTCAACGCGGCGGCGGTTGCATACCCAAGACGCAGGTCTGCGATGGCAAATCTCAGTGTCGCGATGGCAGCGATGAGAGTGCATGCCGTAAGTACTATCTCTTATCACTCTTTTCTATCTCTCTCTCTCTCTCTCTGTCTGTATCTATCTGTCTCTATCTCACCTCTATGCCCTCACACTCTTCACACAACATCCAATGCTTAAGTCTAATCTAATTCATAAGTAAAATTGTAAGAGACCCATGCTAATCCCTGATTCTTGACTTTACCCAAATATAATCTAGATGTTTAAGTAGCCTTTTGAGCTAATTGGTTGATTTTGCTAACTCGCTAGATACCCTATATCTGCCCCAAATCTATTCCTATTCCTTTCAAAACCTTTCACAAAGTATCGAACTGTGTTTTGCTAACCTAACTTTCTGTTTTTATCTCTTTCCACACATGATTTTTACTCTCGTTTTACGCTCTCCTGTACGCGCTGTACACGCTCTCCCCACTGTCCCGTGTGTAAATATCTGTCCTGTACTTTGCCAAAAAAAAACTCTGATTGTCCTGATACTCCTGCTCCTGCTGATACTCTGCCACCCGTCCGACTCGATCTTGAACTTGATAACTGATCTCTGGTATCGACTGCAACACACCATCATCACCACAATCATCACAAAAATCAACAAACCAAAAACAAAAACAAAATACACACAACAACCAACGAATTCCCCCACTCGAACACCACACAGACTTCCAGGACAAGTTCAATAAGACCCGCCTGGGCGTCGAGTGCATGAGCTTTCAGTACCAGTGCGGCGATGGTAGCTGCATTTCGGGGTATAAGCGCTGCAACGGCATCACCGACTGTGCCGATGGGGCCGACGAGTACAACTGTCTGTTTAATTACGAGGATGTCGACTATGGTAGTTCTCCGCCACTCCCCCTACAAAATTCAAATTCCCCAGCTTATCCCAACCCAATATCAAAATCTGAGCTTATCCCAACGGGGTCGTGCCACGCCCTCAGACACTTTTGCATAAAATTTCTCTATCTTTTTTTATATCTCTTTTATCAAAACTGATCAAAAATCACAATCGAAAACTCCTCGCTCAACACACCACAGACACAGACACAGACCCGGACAACAATCCATTGAATGAATGCGATATCCTTGAGTTTGAATGTGACTTGGGTCAGTGTCTGCCGTTAGAGAAGAAGTGCGATGGCTATACGGACTGTGGCGACGAGACGGATGAGCTCGATTGCCCGGCCTTTACAGGTAAAAGCAAAATCTTCACAAAAAACAGTCTGGTGCTACAGGTCCCACTCAACAAAACTAAGCAAACAAAGCCAAAAACAAAATAAACACTAACATATCATCTACATGGCATTTCAGTCATACACAAACCATATAAAATATCATCATCATTCGCAGAGCATTGTCTAGAGAACGAGTTCGAGTGCGACGAGTATTGTATGCCTCGCGATCAGCTGTGCAACGGCATTGCCAACTGCAACGATGGCAGCGATGAGCGCGGCTGTACTTTTTGCCGCGACAATGCATATCTGTAAGAGTTTTCCTACCATACCTATCCGCAATCCATGCCACACCCACTCAGCGACGAAGGATAACTTTTACTCTTTCTCTACTCTTCCATGTAATGGGTACCACAAAAACACAAACATTTACACGCACCACAAACACCCCAACCACATTCATCATCAACATCCACATCAAAACATCATTCATGCGATAAACGATACTTATCGATACTCTGGCATCGATCAGCTGCAACACTGGCGAGTGCATTGCCGATGGTCAGCGCTGCAATGGCCAAGCCGACTGCTCCGATGCCAGCGATGAGCGCCACTGCGGTAAGACATTAAACATAAACCACACATGCAATAACCCTCCTCCCATCCGTACACCCACATCACATCCGGGCAGCACTTTCCACAGCATTTCCAAGTAATTTTACACGTAGTTTCGCGTAGATTCTGTTGGGACTTTTAAGTAGGGGTTTTGCCATTGCCACTGACTTAATCTCGTGATTGTAATTTTAATATTTTTATTGCTGCGATATTTCAAGCGAGGAGGCTCAAGTGTCCATCGACTGAATGGGCCTGCAATGGTAAATGCGTCAATAGGAGGATCCGCTGTAATGGCAAGCGGGATTGTAGCGATGGCCTTGACGAACGCGGTTGTCCGGGTAACGAAATTCAAACAAGTTCAAACAATTTTCCAATTGCTTCTTCTGTCACTGTCACTGTCACTGTCCCTCCACTCCACTCGAGTCTCTCTCTCGTTTATCCCCTCTCCACGTCTCTCATGTCTCGCTTCCCTTGGAGCCCTTTCAACACTTTTCCAGCTTCGATCAAAGATTCAGAGCAGTTTTCAATACCACTTTTGTAGGAGCTTTGCCTCAACCTTTTGTTATATAACTGAGAATATTTTTGGATTCGTCGTTCATTGTTTGATATTTTTATCGTTCCATTCTTGCGTTATCCAACACCATCAATCCACCATGATCAACACACACACGCACACACATTCACCAACACTCACCAACTACCAAAACTAAACGAAGATGTGAGATCCACAGTGCCCGTATCCATGTCCTGCCATCCACACCAGTGGCAGTGCGCGAATTCCGAGTGCATTTATAGATGGCAGTACTGCAACAATCAGAAGGATTGTCGGGATGGCTCCGACGAGTTGCCCAGCAATTGTTTCGGAAACGGTAACCAAAGTCTCTATCACACACACACAATCTCCCTTTCAGACCCTTAACAATGCCATAGTTTGTATATATTCAAATGTCTGTGTGTCTGTATAGTTTATAAGATCTGCCCCAATGGATCAGGTTTGTATATGTGACGATAGCAAAATATATTTTAAGTATGCATAAAACCATTAAACGAAGAAACATCCTGCTCATTGTGCTTTCTTGTCTCTCCCTTTATTCTAAAATAATGTTCAACCAAAACCAAACCAAACAAAAAACACACACAAAATATATGTACAACATACAACACATTCCACATGCATGGCCTGCCACTGATACGCGCCTCATAGCCACCACACGACTAACCGCCGCCGATTGCAGTTCGGATCAGTTCTTCTGCGACGATTCGTGCCTCAATCACTCCATACGCTGCAACGGTGTGACCGACTGCAGTGATGGCAGGGACGAGCATGGCTGCCTCCATTCCATACAACCGACATCCAGCCACTACCCCAACCCGAATCACCGCTCCTGTCCAGTGCACACATGCCCCAGCAGCGGCAGGTGCTACTCGGAGAGTGAGCGCTGCGATCGTCGCCGTCATTGCGAGGATGGTTCCGACGAGGCCAATTGTAAGTTATCCTCTCTCTCTCTCTCTCTCTATTGCCATTTGTCTGTCTGTCACAGTGTTCCACCACATATTCGTAAATGTATCTCATTTTGCACATCACTGAACATCCTTTAACCTGGGTTTAGTTCTTAAGCAAGAGTCGATCAGATCATCAATGAGAGGATGCATGGCTGTCCGTCACTAATGGTTTATTTTATCATCGAACTTTGTGTACAATAAGCCAAATATTGAAATGGATGCCAGGACATGCGTCCACTGTAGATTCCCATTGAAAAATATTACTAATTATAAGCAACGACAAGGACAATTGGCGGGGGACAACTGATCTCCCTACACATGATTTTGATTTGATCGAGCACAGTATTTGTATCACTATTCGTATTTGTATCTATTTAACTTTTGAACTCTGTATCTCTGTATCTCTGTATCTGTAAGCACATGTCCGGCTTCTGCACCTGGAGGCATCTTGATATCCACCGATGTATATTCGTATTTATCATTTGCTAATCTCTGCTGTGTTTTTTTTCTCTTTTCCGTCTCTCTACAATTCTCTCACCCTGACTCTCACTTTCACTCTTACTCTCTCTCTCACTCTTATATTTATTTATACGCAATTATTATGCTGTTGATCTGTCAATGTGTGTGTGGCTGTGTGATTCCATTTTGATTTCGCTGCACCATAATACACCACTCAAAACCACGCTACACAACACACACACAGGTACTGAGTGCAAGGATCATGAATTCTTGTGTTTCGATCGGCAGTTCTGCATAAACGCGACACAGCACTGCGATGGCTACTACGACTGCAAAGACTTTTCCGATGAACAGAATTGCATTGGTTAATAAACAGCTTTCAATTCTGTTTTTGCTTTTTATTATTTCCTAAAAGTAGTTCTAGACAATATCCTCCTTGCTAAGTATCTCTTAAGTTCCATTTAAGTTTTGTGTTTTAAGATGAACTTGAACCCCCAGCCTCCAGCCCCCAGCCCCCCTCCCTTTGGCATGCTTCCAAACATGTGTATGCACTCTTGAAATACCTATTATTATTAGTATTATTTATTATTTGTTCGGTTCCTCCTACGGATGTTTTAGCAGCTAACGCTCCAGCGTAGACTTGAAGATGAACCACAACTAAATGCTGTATTTATTTTTACCCCCGTGCAATCAAATCGAAAACAGGCTGTGCATCCAATCAATTCCGTTGCCACAACGGTGACTGTATCCCGTATTCGTCCACCTGCGATGGCGTACCACAGTGCCGCGATGGATCCGATGAGCTGGAGTGCGGCGGCTCCCTGGAGTGCCTGCCGAACCAATTCCGCTGCAACAATGGCCAGTGCGTGAGCGCCACGGTGCGTTGCAATGGCAAGACCGACTGCCAGGACAGCTCCGATGAGCAGAATTGCGGTAAGTATCGAAACTTGCATCTCCCATCGAGAGGAGTGGGGAGGATCGAACTCCCTCCCGCCCTTCAATCACACACAATCACATCCAATCAACATCATGTGCCTACCACGCTCCGCCTATTGCCCATCATAAGGTCGCCACACAGAGGCGGATACAACAGCTGCCACAAGTGGGACGGCCACCACTAGCACCACCACCACAACAGCCAGTCCAGGTCCAGGACTGCGTATCATCTGTCCGGCGACATCGTTTCGATGCGAGAATGGGCCGTGCATTGCCTTGGGATTGCGCTGCAATGGCCTTGTCGACTGTCCATATGACAGCAGCGATGAGGCGGACTGTGGTCTGATCAGCAACGAGATCGAGCGTAAGTCGCCAGCGACCCGAAACAAAAAAGAAACAACCAAAAAGAACCACTGAAACCACCCGATGGACATGCAACTGTCGTCTCACACCTCCAAAAAGTATATACTAACTGACCAAAAGCAAAAGCAAAAGCTAAGGGCTATGGCTATCGCATACATACATATTTAATCAATACTTATAAATCTTTCTATCATCTCGGTTATCCTCGCTAACATCAACTAAAACTCAAACTGAATTCGCTCAAGGAATTAATTCACGAATGTACTTTGTATTTCGGCAGCCAACGAACCAGGACGAACCAACAATCAATTGAATCTCAAGACATATCCAGATAGCCAGATCATCAAGGAGCGTAAGTATCTAACCGTCGGTCGCCAGCGATCGAAAAAAAAAAAACATTTCTTTTTGCCGTTCTCTATATGTTCGTTCTACTGTACGTTTCTTCGAATCTACATAATGTTCTACCATTACTACTTACTTTTAAAATGCTTAACCCACAACCAAAAAACCAATGACCATAACCCATAATATGTAAAACAAAAATCCGCAGGATATATTAGGGAGGGTAAGTCGGCCTAACTACTCGTACTCTCTCACTCCTAATGCATCTAAATATATATATATACATGCATATATGTACATATATTGTGTATGTATGTACTAGGCACGGTACTGCAGTCCAAAGAACACAAACACAAACCCAAACACAAAACACAAAACACCAAAACGAGCACCACCCGAACCAGCACGAACCTTATTGGCTCGAGAAACGGAGTTGTAAACTGAGTCGAAATTAAGGCACTCAACCACCCACCCACTGAACTGCTATCCTAGAATGAAACTTCAACTCTTGTTGAAACCCCTTGAAAGCCCATGCACGTCTGTCCCCTTTGAATAGTTTCTAGTTCATTCTAACACTCTGTCTCCATGTTGTGCAGGTCGCGAGGTGATCTTCCGTTGCCGTGACGAGGGACCATTCCGCGCCAAGGTACGTTGGACACGTCCCGGCGGCCAGCCTTTGCCCCCGGGCTTCACCGATCGCAGCGGACGCTTGGAGATACCCAATATACGCGTAAGTCTTTGATCCTTAATCCTAGATGCTCTCCAGCCTCATCTCCACTTGGCCTCTCCTTTCAACAGCTGGAGGACTCTGGCACCTATGTGTGCGAGGCTGTCGGCTATCCTAGTTACCAGCAGGGCCAGCAGGTCACCGTTCACCTCACCGTCGAGCGCTGTAAGTACTTTTTAGAGTGGGGGAATTTAAAGGGGAAGCACCTCAAGTTCAATCCATTCTAACACACACATGCAGCCTGGGGCGAGCACAAGTACGAGGAGCTCAAATCGAGTCGTATTCGATATGGCACAGTGCCGCACATTGATCTCGAGTTCTTCGGTCTAGGTATGCTTTTGTGACTCGTGTCCTGTGTCCGGTGTCCTGTGTCCCGTGGGAGTGCAGAATTAATCCAAACTAACTCTTAACTTTCTCTCTTTCTCTCTCTCATCCAATCCCTATGCCTCGTGGCTCTGGGATCGGTAAGCCGTTTGGCCGGTTGGCCCGCGTCATACCCCAAGCTCTAGCCACACTCATTGTGTTCCTGTTCTCTCGCCCGATAGATAACGACTTGGGTGCCCGTCCGAGCACAGCTTGCAGCCAGTACCAGGCGACATGCATGAACGGCGATTGCATTGACAAGAGCAACATCTGCGACGGCATTCCACACTGCTCGGATGGATCGGATGAGCACAGCTGCAGCCACGGCCGCAAGTGTCAGCCGAATCAGTTCCTCTGCAACAACTCCAAGTGCGTGGATCGCACCTGGCGCTGCGATGGCGAGAATGACTGTGGCGACAACTCCGATGAGGCCTCCTGCGATCCCGAGCCCAGCGGTGCCCCCTGCCGCTTCAGCGAGTTCCAGTGCCGCAGCGGCCACTGCATACCCAAGAGCTTCCAGTGTGACGAGGTCTCCGATTGCTTCGATGGCAGTGATGAGGTCGGCTGCAGTAAGTAATCCAACAACTGACAACACAAGACAGACAAAACGGAATCAATTGAATGATGAGACTAATGAACATGCGACTCATGGAATACACGCATTTCGTAGATTCCTTCTGCCACAAGTATAACAGAGATTTTGTATATATTTCTGCCTGTAACTGAGTTACGTTTCTGAAGTAATCATAGTAGGCTTAGTTCCAACTGCCACAGGGTATATTTGGCTGGGTCAATTTACCTACCTAGAACTCCCCGTTCAGTTTGAGTCTCGAGAGAGAGAAGTCGTTTCTATCAATAAACTTCGAGAATTTTTGTCAAAATTTCGGTAGAAATTCGTGCCAAGTTGTCTAAAGAAATAAACGACGATGCGAACGAATTTCGAAAGGGCTCGAGAGTAGCTCCACGACGGCAACGGCAACGTTCTGCGTGAAAAGGACCCCTCCAAATATTTTATGAATTGAAGGATGACCCAGCGTTGGAGAATCTGTGCAAACACTTGCTGTCGACTATCAGAAATTACTTCCTTGCACTCGTGGGAACCGAGCAGCTTGCACAGCTGACGCACCATCATATGGAGACGCTGCTGAAGCGCGACAATCTGAGCATCAGCCAGGAGCTGGAGGCCTTCTTCGTAGTCCTCCACTGGGTGGGCATCGCTCCGGTGGAGCGCCAGCTCCTTCGTTGTTCGGATTCGAAGTACCTCTATCACAACGGGTGCACCCACCACGTGAAAGAGATGGGCCCTCGCGCGTTGGGAATCACTGGCTGCTGTGCAACGGCTCTTTTTGCTTTCATCGAGAGTTTGCAACCGGTCTGGCAGGGAGAGGGGCCGCCATCCCAGGGCGATGAACTTGTCGGGGATGTGATATTGGGTTTTGACAGCAAGTGATATCATTAGCATCATTCCATAACTGATTTTACACTTAGCTACACTCATCACAATCTTAATCCTCCCAATGGAGTAGGACGACACATCATTCATACACACATTCGAACAATTTAGCGCAAATATATGTACATGTAAATGGCAATAAATGTACAAACATGCAAGAGCAGATACACAAATAACAAATAGAACAAATAACAGAACAGAATTAACAACAACTATCATTATGACAAGAACAACAAATGACAATTTAATAAACGGATATGTGCGTGTGGGTGCTAATATTTTTCCCTCGTAGTATTCCCTGAGGGATTTTTCTCATTGTATCATCGCTGTAGCATTTTATTTCTCTCCCCTTCTTGGGCGTCTCATCACCTTGGTCGATTTACAGTTATTCTTGTCGTTTGTCGTCGCTTAGAGCGGATCATGAAGCAGCTATAAAGGAGGACTCGTCGGCTTTTTAGAGGGAAACGTAACAATGCTGTCAATAAGAGCGAGTGAAAGGGCGTGCAGAGACAGAGAGAGCAACTTTACAATAATAAGAGTACAAGCTGCTCATACTTGCGTCCCACGACGAGTCCTCCTTTATAGCTGCTTCATGGAGAGGATCAAAATAGTGAGAGAGCGCACGCCGTGCGTGTTCCTCTGGTGAAATTCGCCAATTGCGTGGCTCTTTTTATAAAAGAGCGAAGCAGAAGACTGAATCTAATGACGTACAATCCATGGACCGAAGACAAACCAAATACAGACCATACTGCCACGAATAATAGTTACTAATTCAGCGCTCTTCTCGTTTTCTCTCTAACAGTGGAGCCCGTGCCCATTCGTCCGCCGCCGCCAGTGAAGGGACTGCTCGAGGGCGAGCCCCTGGATTTGACATGCGTGGCCACCGGCACACCCATACCGACAATTGTGTGGCGCCTCAACTGGGGCCATGTGCCCGAGAAATGTGAATCGAAGAGCTTCGCTGGCACTGGCACACTCCACTGCCCGGACATGCAGGTGCAGGACAGCGGTGCCTACTCCTGCGAGATCATTAACTCACGCGGCACGCACTTTGTCACCCCGGACACAATTGTGACGGTCACACCGAATCGGAATCAGTTCTGCGAGGCTGGATTCTTCAACATGCTCGCCCGCTCTGAAGAGGAGTGCATCAAGTGCTTCTGCTTCGGCGTGGCCAGCACCTGCGAGAGCGCCAATCTGTTCTCGTACGCCATCCAGCCACCGATTTTGTCGCATCGCGTGGTCAGCGTGGAGCTCAGTCCCTACCGCCAGATCGTGATCAATGAGGCTACCAGCGGGCAGGATCTGCTCACCCTCCATCATGGCGTGCAGTTCCGTGCCTCGAACGTTCTCTACGGCGGACGGGAGACGCCCTATCTGGCGCTTCCCAACGACTACATGGGGAACCAGCTGAAGTCTTACGGCGGCAATCTGCGGTACGAGGTCAGCTACATGGGCAGCGGACGTCCAGTGTCCGGCCCCGACGTCATCATCACCGGCAACCGCTTCACCCTCACCCATCGCGTGCGCACCCTTCCGGGCCAGAACAACAAGGTGAGCGTGCCCCTGCTGCCAGGTGGATGGCAAAAACCGGACGGCCGCAAGGCAACTCGCGAGGAGATCATGATGATCCTCGCCAATGTGGACAACATTCTTATCCGTTTGGGCTACCTGGATAGCGTGGCCCGCGAGGTGGATCTGATCAACATCTCTCTCGACTCGGCTGGCACCGTAGACCAGGGCCTGGGCAGCGCCTCCCTCGTGGAGAAGTGCACCTGTCCGCCCGGCTATGTGGGTGACTCCTGTGAGAGCTGTGCCCCAGGCTATGTGCGCCAGCCCGGCGGAGCCTGGCTGGGCCACTGCGTGCCTTTTACCCCCGAACCCTGTCCAGCCGGCACGTACGGTGATCCGCGCCGCGGCATTCCCTGCCGCGAGTGCCCCTGCCCCCAGAGCGGCAGCAACAACTTTGCCAGCGGCTGCCAACTGCGTCCCGACGGTGAGGTGCTGTGCAACTGCTTCGAAGGCTACACGGGCAAGCGATGCGAGACCTGCGCAGCTGGCTACCAGGGCAACCCACTGGCCCCGGGTGGCAGCTGCCACAAGACCCCGGAGTCGTCGTGCAACGTCGACGGCACCTACAGCATCTTTGCGGACGGCACCTGCCACTGCAAGGACCGCGTCATCGGCGAGCACTGCGACAGCTGTGCCCCCAACAGCTTCCACCTGAACTCGTTCACGTACACCGGCTGCATCGAGTGCTTCTGCAGCGGCCACCAGGTGGGCTGCGGCAGCACCACCTGGAACCGTGATCAGGTGACGAGCAGCTTCGGCCGTACCCGTGCCCCGCATGGCTTCGAGCTGGTGCGCGACTACACGCGTCCCATGGCCCAGAGCCTGGAGATTGCCACCTATGGATCGGAGCTGAGCTTCAATGCCGAAGGGGAGCACGGCGCGGACACGCTCTACTGGAGCCTGCCGGCCGTCTTTCTGGGCAACAAACTGGTTTCGTATGGCGGCAAACTGAGTTACACCCTCAGCTACAGCCCGCTGCCGGGCGGCCAGATGTCCCGCAACAGTGCCCCCGATGTGGTGATCAAGAGCGGCGAGGATCTGCTGCTTATCCACTACCGCAAGTCCCCGGTGAGCCCTACAACGGCAAGCTCGTACTCCGTGGAGATCAAGGAGAGCGCCTGGCAGCGCGGAGATGGGCAGTTCGCCAATCGCGAGCACACCCTGATGGCCCTCAGCAACATCACGGCCATCTACATCAAGGCCACCTACACGACGAGCACCAAGGAGGGAGCCCTCAAGCAGGTGTCGCTCGACACGGCCACCGCCACACCTCTGGGCACCCAGCGTGCCTACGAGGTGGAGGAATGCCGCTGCCCCACCGGCTACATTGGACTCTCCTGTGAGACCTGCGCCCCCGGCTACAAGCGCGATGATGTCTCTGGCCTCTATCTGGGTCTCTGCGAGCCCTGCGAATGCAACGGACACTCGACCCAGTGCGATGCCGAGTCTGGCGATTGTATTGTAGGTTCACTCTCCTTCGATCCCCACGATCCGTTCTAACATTTATCTTTCACTCTCCTTCTTAGAACTGCTCGGACAATACGGAAGGACCCAACTGCGATCGATGTGCTGCAGGATATGTGGGCGACGCCACAGGCGGCACCCCGTACGACTGCCAGCCGGACGGTGGAGAGCCACAGCCCCCATATCGACCATTGGAGCCGGGCAACCAGACGAGCGACTGCAGCCGCTGGTGCCAGGCGGAAGGAACTGTCAACTGCCAGGGAAGCTACTGCTACTGCAAGCCAAATGTTATCGGGGATCGGTGCGACCAGTGCCGCCCGGGCACCTACGGTCTTTCTGCCACCAATCCTGATGGTTGCAAGGAGTGCTACTGCTCCGGACAGTCGACACAGTGCCGCTCGGCGCCGCTCTACCGACAGCTGATACCCGTCGACTTCTTCAAGAATCCCCCCCTGCTGACGGACGAGACTGGGGAGATCCAGGACGAGAATAACCTTGACTTCGATGTGGCCACCAATATGTACACGTACTCGCATCCCTCCTACCTGCCCAAGTACTGGAGCCTGCGCGGCAGTGTGCTGGGCAACCAGCTGCATTCATACGGCGGCGAACTGCAATACAAGCTGCACGTGGAATCCTACGGCCGCTACGAGCCCGGCCAGGATGTGATCCTCATTGGCAATGGTCTGACGCTGATTTGGTCGCTCAACCAGGAGTCACCGGATGGCCTTAACAGGGTGCGCCTGAACGAGGATGGTCAGTGGCAGCGCAAGGATCGCGGACGCACTGTCCCCGCCAGCCGCAGCGATTTCATGAGCGTCCTCTCTGACCTCGAGCATATTCTGATCCGTGCCACGCCCAAGGTGCCCACCACACGCACCTCCATCGGCGATGTGATTCTCGAGTCAGCCGTCACCTATGCCTCCCCCGGCCATGGACAGGCTGCCACCGACATTGAGCTGTGTCAGTGCCCTGCCGGGTATACCGGAAACTCCTGCGAGACCTGCGCCCCGCTCCACTATCGCGATGCCGATGACTCCTGCCGACTGTGCCCCTGCGATGCGGACAATAGCGATGGCTGCCGCCTAGACAGCAATGGCTACCCCGAGTGCCAGTGCAAGCCTCGCTTTAAGGGTGAACTCTGTCGGGAAATCGGTAAGTCGAATGTCCGAAGTCCTCCACCCGAAGATCCACCGATGTAATCCACAAGCGATTGAGGACTGCCTCTGCCTTGACTCATACCGATCCATTCACCGATCCGCCCGAACATTCTTTCCCTTTTTCCCCTCTAACTAGCCAACTCTCTGTCCCCTCTCTTGAACTCTCTACCAGCCAACAACCCACCTTCCTATCGTGTCCATCTCCAAACCATCTTTTCTTCAAGGATCCTAATTAGATCAACTTTAATATACCCGATGCTCGATACTCCGTCTGTACCTCATTTATTTGTCCGTTTTTCCACATGCCAAAATATCGCAGATCTCGAGATCTCAAGGAATGAAATTTGTCTAAATATTATTTGCAATTAAAGCAATCTAGTATCGGGTATCTGTAAGTCGGACCATCGACTGACGACAGTATTCTTTTGATTTGTAAAATTCTCTCGGAAAATTCAAAATTCGCATAGAAGAAATACTGAAAAATCACCACAACAACAAAAACAACAACAAAAAACACTCACATCCATCCACATTCTAGACACATCGCCCATATTCGAAGACCCGCCCAAGATATGTGATATAAGCAGGGGATTCTGTTGCAGCGGCTTTAAGTTCGATATTGCGCCCAACGAGACAATCTCGTTCAATGACACCCTCCAGATATATAAAGACAACAGAATGATAGGAAAGATAACCAAGCTGCCCAACGGCTGTCACTCGAGAGGTTCGCTCCAGAGTCCAATCAACACAGAACCAAACAAAACACTCTACCAACAAAACAAACTCTATTGCTGTATTATTATGTTCTATTGCCTAATACCTCGTACTTGTCACACCTGAAAATAATCCGATATGCTCGTTATAGACGGCACACTCTCCTCTCTACTCTATAAAGTATATGTTTTTTTTTTTGTGTAGACATTACAATATAAATGTTTAGAGCAAAGCTAACTTCTTGTACTTGTACTATATATCTGTGAGCTAAACACAAGCCCCGCAGTACAGTGTACTTCTTGTACATTCGTACTCGTCGTACTCTTGGGTTAGAACTAGCTTCCTCTTTTTCCCACACTCTCACTCTCACTCTGACTGTCTCACTTTTTGTCTAAGCCTAAGTCTATGTTCAGTATCACCCGCTGTGTAGCTATTGAACTCCCCAGCGCTCAAGCTCTTGCCCTCGTTCACGCTCAGATGGTAAGTGAGTATTTAAAGATCTCGCTCTGATAATGAACAAGTGACAGACGCTCTCGCTCAGAGCATTAGCGTGCATCTGATGCTCTCGCTATGAGGAAGAGCGAGTAACGAGTTGCTCTCTCCCATTGATGATGTAGTAGTATATAATGACGAGCGAATAACTGATCTTTCGGTGATCTAAAATCAATGTGCCCTAGATAGATACTTGTTCTTACCTCCCCCATGTAGTTTTTGTTCCTCTCGTAACTCTCTCCATCTATCCCTCTGTATCTCTCTCTCTCTCTCCCTCTCTCTGTTTGTGTGTGGCCAGAGCATTCGAAAAAGCCACGATAGCAACGATTGGCCAAGAATCACGCTCAAGTAGTCGATTACTTTAGTCGCTGTACTCTACCTTATATACTTACTAACCCTCCAATATGTATGTCCGCACCACACTTTGGATAGCGAATTATCCGCCGTAATGTGCGTTGGAGATCCACCTTATAGCGTAGTAAATACTTGTATTTTAGATGATCTTTCTGTCAGCTAACCCCACCACCAATCAATCCACCAACCAAAGATGTCCGCCCATCTCCGCCATAATCACACCTCTGTAGCAGGTGCTTACCTCAGCCCACTCCCAAATTCGAAACTAAAACATAGACCAACCCCGAAAATGCGTGATTAAACCGCAACCAACAAAATGTCACTAACATCCTACGTAGAGGAACTAAGATTGTGGGAATTCCAATTCAAATTTTCGTTTGGTTTCAAAATCTAACTTATTTATTTGCTTTATCCCGTGATCCCCACACCCAAACCCCATACAGATACAGGCAACGAGGCCGAACAGCAACCGGATGAGCCAGAAGATAATGGACTCACTCAGATTATTGTGTCCATAGCCAGGCCCCAGATCACGATTGTGCCCGTTGGTGGATCTCTCACGCTCAGCTGCAGCGGTCACATGCGATGGAACAATGTGAGTACAACGCGGCTGGATCACCAGTAGTTTTCTCCATGCTGAATCCTGTTTCTGTTCCTTTTGCTGTTTCTGTTGCAGGATCCTGTGGTCGTTAGCTGGTACAAGCAGAACAGCCATCTGCCCGAAGATTCCGAAGTGGAGGGAGGAGTGCTGTACTTGCGTAACCTACAGATCACAGACTCTGGCATCTATGTGTGCCATGCCGAGAATAACGAGACAATGCACGGCTACCAGGACACCGTCTCCGTCACCATATCACGTGAGTAAGCCGCTTCCCAGAGTGGCGCAGCCCCTGCCCCCCACGCCATGCAAGTTTTGCTAATCATTGACTCTCCTCTGACATTGCGGCTTTAACTAAAGGATATGCCAAGGAAATGTTGGCTCGCTATGGTATCTACAAATTCCCCAAGAACTTCCCAATAATTACCCCGAGAATCTCTCAAGAATCCTCTAGGAAATCCTTAGATTACTTTGAGACTTGTTTGACATTCGACTTTCACATTTTGCAGAGGAAGGCCAACGGTCACCGGCCCAAATTGTGGACCTGCCCAACCATGTGACCTTCGAGGAGTACCAGCCGAACGAGATCAACTGCGAGGTGGAGGGAAATCCCGCACCATCCGTGACCTGGACCCGCATCGACGGGCAAGCCGATGCCCAGACCCGCACCGATGGCACCCGCCTGATCTTCGACTCGCCCCGCAAATCCGACGAGGGACGCTACCGCTGCCAGGCGGAGAACAGCCTCAATCGGGATGAGAAGTACGTCCATGTCTATGTGCAGAGCAGTGCCCCACCATCGCCGCCACCACGTGAACGCGTCTACATTCAGCCGGAGGAGTACAATGGAGTGGAGGGCGACACCTTCCGCCTGACCTGCCAGTCGACCAGCGGCGCCAATCTGCACTACGAGTGGTCCCTCAACGGCTACCCCCTGAGCGGACAGCGCAACATCATTGTCAGCGGCAATGTGCTCGAGGTGCGCGACTCCAGTGTCCGTGACTCTGGCACCTATACCTGTGGCGCCTACGATCTGCGCACCCACCGCAACTACACCGAAGACGCACGCGTCTACATCGAGCGTCGCGACCTGCCACCCACCGACGATAGGTACATATTTGATGCCACACATCCACTCTGATGGCAGTTTCTCATACTCTACTTTGTTTGCCCGATCGCAGTTCAAGCCCCGTGATTGTGCGCCTCCAAGAGCTGATCACCATCGAGCAGGGTCGCGACTTCAGCATCACCTGTGAGGCCAGCGGCACTCCGTATCCCTCGATCAAGTGGACCAAGGTGCACGACCATCTGGCCACCAATGTCCATGTGAGCGGCAATGTGCTGAGCATCTACGATGCCCGGCCCGAAAACCGTGGCCCCTACTCCTGCATAGCCGAGAACATTCACGGCTCCGATCAGTCCAGCACGAATATCGACATTGAACGTAAGTCTTAAGCGGTCTAAGCACCATCCAGCTAGCTATAAGCTACACACAGTTGGGGTCCGTTTGGTCAAAGGTAGAGCCGCAAGAATGGAACCTTTTGGCACAACTGACCCCTAGCAAACATTTATGTAAATACAACCACAAGAGTCTGGTTAACGTATCCTAGAGCTAACAATTTCTCCTGCTCTGTCTCATCCTGTATTTATCTGCTGCTCTCACCTTTTATTTGAAATTAAAAACTAATTCTATTTCGACATGCTAAAGTGCACAAGAGTGGAGTTGGTAATAAGACAGGTCCGCACAGTCTGATCCTAATACTAATCGGTGCCACCACCATAATTTACTTGTTTGCAGCCCGGGAGCGGCCGAGCGTTAAGATCGAGTCACCATCCCTGCAGACCCACTCGGTCGGCTCCCAGGCGTCACTCTATTGTCGCGCCAATGGCATACCAGAGCCCCAAGTGCAGTGGGTCCGCGTCGATGGTACACCGCTCTCGCCGCGCCACAAGGAGATGGGACGCGGCTATGTTGTGTGAGTACCGCGACACCTGCTCCTCCATCCTCCTTCCCTAAGTCTCAACCTTATTCAATGCCATTCAATCCAACAGCATTGATGACATTCAAATTGGCGATGCCGGTGCATACGAGTGCAGGGCCGAAAATCAGGTGGGCAAGGCCTCGGGCACAGCCACGCTGCGCGTTGTGGAGGCCCCACTGGTGGTGATTAAGCCCGGCCAACAGATCATCCGTCTGACCGATGGCGACGAACTGAATCTGGAGTGCGTGGCCAGCGGCTACCCCAATCCCAGTGTCCAGTGGAGCCCCAAGGGCCACGAGCCCGAAACGGAGACCAGTCTGGGCGTGAACCGTGAGTCCGTGAGCAACACGGCCTATCTGAAGATCTATCGTGTTAGCCTCTCCGACGCTGGCATCTACACCTGTTCGGGTGTCAACGAAGCCGGCAACGATGAGCGCAGCGTTCGCGTGGACATTCAGCCAAAGCGCGGCGACATCAGTGATAGTAAGAGAATTCTCTAGAAATTAGTTCGAAGCCCATCAACATTCTCTCTCTCTCTCTCTCTGTCTCTTAGATGATGGCGATGTGGATCATGGACCGTACCAGCAAACCGACTACCCAGCGCCACCAGTGTCGAGGCCAGGGCAACCACAGCGCTTCCCCACCAACTTTGGCGATAATGTGACCCTCACCTGCGACCTTGGCCCCTATGTGACACGTTGGGTGCGCGTCGATGGCCGTCCATTGCCCTCGAATGCCTACACCGAGCGCAACAGCCTGGTGATCATCTATGTGCATGAGCAGAATCTCGGCCAGTATCGCTGCAATGCGTACGACAACCGGGACGAGGTGGTCACATATGTGGTCAGGGAGCTGGTGCTGCTGCCGCTGCCACAGATCACCTTCCAGCCAAAGATACCGCTGCGTGTCGATGCCGGCGAGAATGTTGAGATCTACTGTGAGGTGACAAATGCCCAGCCAGAGGATGTGCACTGGGCCACCGACAACAATCGACCACTGCCAGGGTGAGTTTGCACCAAGAGTCACAACAAATGGATCTGCATAATCCCTTTTGCTCTTCCCTTAGTTCTGTGCACATCGATGGGCAAATGCTGCGCTTCATCTCGATTGCTCCTGCCGATGCTGGCGGCTATCGTTGCACGGCCACCAATTATTATGGCAACACCACCAAGACCGCCCAGGTGGTGGTCAATCCACCGACCGTCTACGAGCAGGTGCCACAATCGGAGGTGCATCAGCGACGCGAGGGCGAAAGCATTCAGATGCGCTGCAGCGCCACCGTGCATGGAGAGGAGCGCGGTAACCTGCAGGTAAGTTATGGACCTCCATATGAGTAACTGGATAACCGCATTGATTCGTGCAACATTTCGTTTTCGATTGCAGTTTGAATGGTATCGCCAGGATGGCCGCCCACTACCGAATGGCGCCCGTCGTGACAGCCAGGTGCTGGTGCTGACCACGCTCCGGCCTCAGGATGAGGGTCGCTACATCTGCGATATCTACGATCATTCGAGCGGGCAGCGTCTGCCTGGCACCGCCGTCGATTTGCAAGTACACCGTGAGTAATCGCCCCCCTTTCGGGGCTCCCACTGTTGGTTCGGATACGGGACTCGGGACTCGGAAACGGGCCGGTGGTCGATGGGCAATGGGCGGTCGGTGTGGGTTTCGTTCCGGCTGAACCGTGGCTCAGAGTCAACGGGGATACGGAGCAGGCCGCCAGCCACCCCTATACCATTCCACCACCGAGCCGGAGGTCCCCACCCCTCAGACAGACACACACACACACACACACCTACACACACACAGCCAGAGTCAGATGTCCTGTCCGACAAATGCGATTAAGCAGCCAGCAAATATCTCTTAAACCTCTCTGTCTATATCTCACCCACACACACACTCAAACAAATACACACACACACACACACACACCCCTACCATACAGACCCACAACCCCCCACCCCCCTATAAATACTAGCCAGTGGGATTACTCCGATGAAACTCTTTATACAAAAATCGATCCATAGACTAGAGGTCTCTGCCACCGAAGCGAGAACAAAAGTTTTACAGTGGACTCTAATGTATATCGTATCCCGATTTCGAAACAGAATAAGAAGGAAGTACGAAAAGTACCAAAACGAAAACGAAAATATTCACTTAATGTAATCAAAAGATCAGCTAAAGATGAAGATGAAGATGAAGTTATAGTTAAGGAATGTGTTAGGCCTTTGAGCAGGTTTTAAGTTTCGTTCGCTGATTTTACTAATTCTCCTTGCCCAACCACAACCACCACTACCCCCCCGTAAAAATACTCTCAATATATATATATATATACATATACCCGTCAATGTAATCGTATATGTTAAACGTAAAAGTAAACGTAAACGTAAATTAAAAACCAAACTGGAAAAAGCAACAGCAAAAGCGGTAAATGAAGACACGCTGTAAATATGCAAAAATCGGGAGAGGGCTCTACACTTTGTATATAACAAATCAAATCCACTCAAATCGAAAGCAGATCAATCAGTCAGTCAATCATTGCATATAAAACGAAAGTCCTTCCCCAACCCCAACCCCAACCACTCCACAACCACAACCACAACCACAATTACACCGTACACCCTACACACACTCTCTTTCTGTCTCTCTCTCTATCTGGTGATGGAGCCACATGGAGCAATATGTGGCGCTCACTGCATGCAAAGCCGAAATATTCCAAATTGTTTTTGTTTTGAGACGAAACTAATATTAAGTTCTGCCAAAAAAAATACCAATTTATGTACACACCAACTCAAAACATATATATATAGACTATGTATATGTATATAGACAGACACGCACACTATTACACAAATTGATAAATCTTAAGCTTACACAGAATGGCTGCCAAGAAAAAGAACACAAAACTTTTACACACACACAACACACGCAACACACACTTCTAATACGATACCATAACTCTTAAGCCCCACTAAAAGTGCGAAATAAAAACATAATATTAACATTAAAACCAAAAAAAACAGCAACAAAAATATAACTACTTGCACAGCAGAAATTGTGTGAAGCAAACCAAACAACAAGAAGCAAACAACAACTTGTAACATATTCTTTTTATTTCACCCATTTCAATGCCCTTGAAGAAACCAAAGGTTAAACAATAATACAAATAGCTTACAGAACTAGAAGACCATATATTCCGTCCGTTAGTGATCCATTCCATAACCTATTGATCTTTTAGATCAATTTAAATCGTGATTTTTCGCGTCATGCAGCATCGCCTCTCAGTCCGTACTTAATCATTTCATCTTTCTTTGCCGGAGCATGTTCTTTTGACTAGAATCCCATAAACCACTGGATAGGTCTGCAAGGGCATTCGAAGTCTCGGTGCACCGAGTCCCAGACTTATACTTCTGCTTGATTAACATTTGAATCTGGTTTTTTTGGTGTCGGTTGTATCATCGGATGTCGTTACTTTCACTCTGGATATCCTGTGGCCCCCCTCCTTGGTGATGGTCTAATCTGTTATAATTATAATTATCTAATTGTCTATCGGTTGTCATTTATTTGTTTGTGTTTTATGTGTATTAATTGTATGTATGTGCGAATCAAGGAATAGGTATTGTAAATGATTTAAAATCTAAGCACTGCACACAGTCTTTCTATCTCTAACTTGTCTTTATTTTCCCCCAATCTTTATCTACATCTCTTCATTTTCCTCCGACCTTATCTCTTTCCCCTTACTTGTCTAAATTTGTTTCCATGTACAAACAACTCTCTAGCTCTCTATCTATCTCTATGTGATATTAGAGGTTATTGAACACATGGATACTGCAAAAAACAATCATCAAAGACGGATTCCTATAGAAGATCAAGCTGAATGACGTTTCGGCATTCCCATTCGATTCTGAAATCGTGTGTTCTCTAATCTTTGGTTCTATCTATCCATCAGAATTTCGCTCTCTCTTTTTACTCTGTCTCTCTATCATCACAGAAGTTGCACCTGCACAACCAGAAAAATAAACAAATTACAAACAAAAATTGGAATTAAAATCAAATTCGAAAAAGCACAAAATCAATTGTAAATAATACCGAAATAATGTCACCAACGTTTTTGATTGTCTTGAATCTAGATAAAATCAGTCAAACATCCACAGAAAATATCGTTGAAAATGAGCAGAAGAATTTTTGAATGCAGGGCAAAGATAAACCCCGAGTACTCCGAGTATTCCTTAGCGTAGAAGATTTCTCTTGAATGTCGCGACGGGCAACAAATGGAAACACTTTTGATTAATTTCATATTTATTTCTCTTTCTCTCTCTCTCTCACACACGCTTTCTCTCTCTCTCTCCCACTTTCTTACATGTGCGCTTGTTAAACAAAAAAAAACACACAAAAAACAATTATTTTACATTTATCTTTGACCTAAAAATGATCTACTTATGATAAACTATATATGATATGTGATATGTGCGCTTTTGCTGATCTGATCCTCTGAAAACACACACACAAACAAAACACAAACAAATTTTATGGTATGGTATGGTATGATATGGCATGCAACTGCAACTGCAACTGCAACTGCAACTGCAACAATCAATCGAATCGAACCGAATCAACTGCTACAACTCGACAACCCATAGGAGCCCCATATCAATACAAGGTCGGGCAGAGTATGAAAGACATGCCCTGCGTGGTTTTCTATATATGTGCTGCAGGTGTGTTACCGCTACCGCCGCCCAATCGAATCTAATCGATGAAAACTAAACAACAACAAAAAGAACCCACTCCTCCATTATTATTTTATTTCGTATTTTATACTTTTACTTTTGATATTTTGATTTGTTTTCTGTTGCCTTTTAATTTTATTATGATTTTTTTTTTTGTTTATTTAAATTTGTATTGTATTAATAATCCAAAATGATCTATCAATCTGTATTACGTACTGCCTAACCTTAGAGCCATAGAAGATTTATAAAAAACAAAAAAATGAAAATAATACTAAAACAACAGTCGTTTGAAGATACTTCCATGAAACGTTACGTTATTTTCCCCCCGTCCATGACCACTCCTGCACTTACGAGTAGTTCGATAGCGATAGCCGATCTCACGCCTATCCCTGGTCGATGGCCGATAACAATTTAGAGCATGCATGGCTTACGATAAATGTAGTACCTACCTTCTAGTTCGTAATCTAGTAATCTAGGGCGCAGGCGTACACCCATGTACATAGAAAACACCCAAAAATATATACGATCGGTGCGAGTCGGTGCGTACTAACATTCATGGGCTATCGAGGCGGCTGCATACATTTGCTAATCTTTTATTTCTATGCCTTTTGAATTGGGAAATGCCACAAATTCAAAACTAAAAAAAATAAAATAAAATAATAACCGAAACCGATACCGATACCAATAAATATCGATACAAATCGAACCGCGCTGTCACAGACTTCAAGAGCAGCAAGGGGTCATCCATCAAGCCGCTAGCTCCTGGAGGCACCATCCGTCCACCCATCATCTCGTACGCGTGCCAGCCGAGTGACTTCAAATGCGTATCGCATCCGCATACCTGCATCAAGGCGGGCATGGTGTGCGATGGCATCTACGACTGCCTGGACCACTCGGACGAGTTCAACTGCATAGGAACCGCCGGCAAGACTGGGAAGACATCATCGAGCTCTGGATCAGGATCAGGATTGGGCAGCTTTAAGCGCTGGAAGAAGAGCCAGAAGATGGATAGGGATCAGCACCATCATCCAATCGGAGGCCAACGACTGCAGAAACGTCATCTGGTTTTGAGAAGGAGCTTCGGTTGGTCCAAAGTCTTCATTTTCTTCCATATCCTTACCCTTTCCCCACCCTCTTTCCCACTACTACTCCAACTTCTATCTATCGATCCCCATCTGTTTGACCATCCCATGTCTAACAAACTCTGTCCCTCTGTTCGTGGGTGCACAAAACTTGCACTCAACGTTTGGACATGGATTCGGATTCAGATTGAACACCGACCAACTCAACAGCACCACAGCAACAATACGCAACAAAAAGCAGTACTGGCACGCACTCGCAACGGGTTACTAGAGGCTTAAGACATAACAATAACCCATAACAATCGATAACAAATCGATTTTGAGAATATTTCAACTTTTGCAGCGTTCGACGAGACGAAAGATCTAACAGGTTCTGGGTTCGCCTTAACAAGTGGTATACATCGATTGACTACAATCGATTCTTATGTTTTGCTGTCATCGATTAACTTGCATGTGGCTGGCCGATAAGGGTAACTGTTACTAACACACACACACACACACATACCCAAAAAGTATATATGAATAGAGCTTTCTGAATAACCCAGTGAATAGATATACGAAATTATTGTAAATAATATTCCACACACACACACAAACATACACATTAGAGACATTCGATAAACGATAATGAAGCAAACGACATTTGTAGAATTAATAGAAAAAATAATAGAAACCTGTATGTACATAAGTATCTATGTATGTAAATGTATCTCGTAGTATATATGTGACCACAAACAAAAAAAAAAAACAGAAAACATGTGCGAAATTTTAGTTGGTAACCCAAGTCGAAATTAGAGTTTGAGTATTCGATCAAAATGAATCTGATCATTGAAATTATGTATCGATCTTCTCCATCTTTATAACCCACCATATGTAATCGTACTCTGTGTGATTCGACCCTAGCAGTAATCGAGTAATTGTAGCTCTCTCTCTCTCTCTCTCTCTCTCTGTACACATAGTAGTCCACTATCCATCACCACACCACACTCCACCTAGTCCCCCCTCTCTGTTGCTCTCCCTCTCTATATATGTATACTTATAAATGTATATGTATGTATACCATATCTCTGTATTTTCTAACGAGGAAGTCAAAATTCCAAAAAAAAACAAATCGAAACGACTAAAACAAAGCAAAGTGGACTATGAATCGAACGATGAAATCGATGGCATGGTTTATCGAACGATTAAATGGTCGTTGATACCATGAGAATCGATATTAGACTGATCGTTATTAAATATGAATCGGTTTATAAACATATTATCGAGCCTTTAACAAATGTATCCAATAATGTTATCGATTCATGTGCCAAATGGTTGATTACACGCAGTTTTTTGGTCATTATTCATTTTGAATGTCTGATGGCTAAACATCTGTAATCGGTTATTGTAAATATTATCGATAACTATCGATTGTTAAATAACTTATTCAAAAAACATCCATCGATTATTCATCGATTTGTCGTTCGATAATTATCGTTTACGTTACTGTTTGAACCACCATTTTCTTGACATCTAAATTTTGCTAACTGTTTTATCTTTCTCTCTCTCTCTGTGTATTTTTTTACCCCATTTTTACCCATTTTCCACAAATAAACACACGAATACACTCCACACACACACACACACCACACCACACACACACAAACACACACACATACATGCACCATTGCACATCCTTTTGTGAATTGTCGCTGAAATTGTGAACGTTACACGCCGACTCGATCGTTCGATCGATCCCGATCTGGTTGTTGTCCTTGTCGCTTCCTGTGCCTGTGCCTGTGCCTGTGACCGTTCCTGTTGCTCTACCTTGTGCTGTCTCCGGTGTTGGTATGTGCCTGCAGCGGGTCTTCCAGTGGCCTCAGCCACTCCTGCGCCGGCACCGTACCGTCCTGCCTACCTACCGCCGGCCACAACGCCGGGCCGAGCGCGGGACTACAGCCTGAAACTGGACCAACAATCATCGAATCTGCGTGCGGGCGAGGCCGCCGAAGTGGAGTGCTACTCCTCGGACAACAGCTACACGGATGTGGTGTGGGAGCGGGCCGATAGCCAGCCGCTCAGCCCCAATGTTCAGGTGAGCATCATCCATTCATATTTCTGTGGCATTTCTTATCCCTGAATAACCCTGGCAGCAAGTGGGCAACCGCCTTGTGATAACTGATGTGACAGCCGCCGATGCTGGTCAATATGTCTGCAAATGCCGAACGGATGAGGGTGATCTGTACACGACCAGCTATGAGCTGACCATCGAACAGCAGCCCCACGAGCTCAAGCGCTCCAAGATTGTCCACTCGAAGGTGGGGGCCGATGCCAAGCTCCAGTGCGGAGCAGATGCCAGCCGACGGCCCAGCTACCGCTGGTCCCGCCAGTACGGACAGCTCCAGCCAGGACGATCTCTGCTAGGGGTAAGTCCACACCAAACCCAACCACCCAACACTCTGCCAACACTTTTGCTTTCTCTCAGGAACATTTGTCGCTCGAGGATCTGCAGGCCAACGATGCTGGCACCTACATATGCACAGCCGTGTACGGGGATGGAGAGTCAGTGGATTATCCCAGCATTCTGGTGGTGACCGGAGCCATACCGCACTTCCATCAGGCGCCACGCAGCTACATGAGCTTCCCCACGCTGCCGGACTCCTCGTTTAAGCTCAACTTTGAGATCACCTTCCGGCCGGAGGGCGACGACGGACTGCTGCTGTTCAACGGACAGACGCGCGGCACCGGCGACTACATAGCCCTCTCGCTGAAGGACCGCTACCCAGAGTTCCGCTTCGATTTCGGGGGCAAGCCGATGCTCATTCGAGCGGAGGAGCCGCTGCAGCTGAACGAGTGGCACACGGTGCGCGTCCATCGCTCCAGGCGGGACGGTTACATGCAGGTGGATGAACAGCATCCGGTGGCCTTCCCCACACTGTCGCAGGTGCCGCCGCTGGATCTCATCGAGGACCTGTACATTGGTGGCGTGCCCAGCTGGGAGCTGCTGCCCGCGAACGCGGTCACGCAGCAGACGGGCTTCGTCGGCTGCATCAGCCGCCTGACCCTCCAGGGCCGCACCGTCGAGCTGATGCGAGAGGCCAAGTTCAAGGAGGGCATCACCAGCTGCCAGCCCTGTGCCCAGAGTCCCTGCGACAACGGCGGCATCTGTCTGGAGAGCCAGACGGAGGTGGCCTACTCCTGCGTCTGCCAGCAGGGCTGGACCGGTCGCAACTGCGCCTTTGCCGGCACCCAGTGCACCCCAGGCGTCTGCGGAGCCGGACGCTGCGAGAACACCGAACGGGACATGGAGTGCCTGTGCCCCCTGAATCGCACCGGCGACAGATGCCAGTACATCGAGCACCTCAACGAGCAGAGCCTCAACTTTAAGCGGAACAGCTATGCGGCTTACGGGTAAGCAATCAATCAATCAATCGCCAGCTTTGGCTTCTCCACCGACACACTCATGGCACACTCTCTATGTCTCTATGTCTCTATGTCTCAGTACGCCCCGTGTCACACGTGTGAACATCACCTTGTCCGTGCGTCCCTCGAGGCTACGCGACTCTGTGCTCCTTTATGCGGCAGAGTCGAAGCTGCCCAGCGGCGACTATCTGGCACTGGTGCTGCGTGATGGCCATGTAGAGCTGCTGATCAATACGGCGGCACGACTGCGTCCAGTCGTTGTGCGCTCTGCCGAGCCCCTGCCCCTGCATAGATGGACGCGCATTGAGGTGCTGCGTCGCCAGGGCGAGAGCGTGCTGCGGGTGGGCGAGGGCCAAGAGCAACGGGCCAAGGCTTCGGGAGCGGCGCGCACATTGTCGCTGAAGACGCCTCTGTTTGTGGGCGGCTACGATCGGGCCTCGGTGAAGATCAACCGAGACGTGAACATCACGGAGGGCTTTGATGGTTGCATTTCGGGACTGTACGACTCGCAGCGGTCCATTCAGCTGCTGGCGGACATCAAGGATGCGGCCAATATCCAGAATTGCGGCGAACTCAATGAGATCAGTGGCGCCGATGGTGACGCTGAGGCTGAGGACGAGAGCGAGGTGCCAGTGGCACCCGCTGTGGTACCTTCAGCTCGTGTGCCAGAGGCCACCAGCGAGCAGGAGGAGCAACTGCAGCCCTACAACATGGCGCCGTGTGCCAGCGATCCCTGCGAGAACGGTGGCAGCTGCAGCGAAGTTGAGAACCAGGCCATCTGCTCCTGCCCCCTGGGCTACAGCGGCAAGCATTGCCAAGAGCGTAAGTTGGAGCTCAGCCAGTCAGTAATCCGCAATCCATTCTCTGATTTCCATTCCTCCACTTTACAGACATCCAAGTGGGCTTCAATGCCTCGTTCCGCGGTCATGGCTACATGGAGATCAATCGCAATCAATTCGATTCAAACATAGAGCAGCTATTCACCTCCGCCGCCATGGTCTTCTCCACGAGCAAACCGAACGGGCTGCTACTCTGGTGGGGACAGGTTGCCGGCGAGGAGTTTGTGGGCCAGGACTTTATCGCTCTGGCCGTTGTCGATGGCTATGTGGAGTATTCGCTGCGTTTGAACGGTGAGGAGACGGTGATCAAGAACAGCGACACCCGAGTGGACGATGGCCAGCGGCATATTGTGCTTGTGAAGCGAGTGGACAACACGGCCATTCTAGAGGTCGATCGCATCTCGCATTCGGGCGAGACGCGACCCACCGGCAAGAAGGAGATGAAGCTGCCGGGCAATGTGTTCATAGGTAAGCAGCGCAGTCGCTAGTCCTCTAAGGGAACTCTCAAACTCTCAACGTAATCCCATTCCTCATTGCCATTCCAGGTGGCATTCCGGACATTTCTCAATTCACGGGCGGCCGTCAAAGGCACAACTTTGTCGGCTGCATTGTGGTGGTTGAGGGCGATGCCGTTGGCCAGATAAATCTGGGCCAGGCCGCCGTCAATGCCGTCAATGTGGACACCTGTCCAGTGTAAGTATAAGAACCCAATTCCCTGCCCTGTAATACCCTTTAAACCGTACTCCTAACTCATAATCATACAACTAACACACTTGGGTTTAGTGCATGGAGTCCCTCGAGCCTCGTCTATCACGAGTTCGATGCCAGCGATCCGAGCTTCTTCGATGAGCTGGATCAGCCGCCGCCTGTGCACATCTTCTACCCGCGGCCCAATCTCAGCCAGCTGCCATCGAAGGCGGCTCACGGCTCTGCCCATCGAGACTCGTATGTGTTATCGTTCATATCACTGGCAGCCATCATTCTGTGTCTGCTACCGGGCCCAAGCTAAGCTTCGGGTCGCCCACAAAAGAAAGTTGTTTTAGCTAGAATCGATACCATAATCGAATCAGTAATCGATGACAAGGGGTTCATCGCTTATTGCTGGGAGTAGGGAGGGTAACCCCAAATGTCTAAAAACTATCTGAAGAGTGTTACAATTGAAATTATCGTGCCATATCATTGCAAAATATCATGTTATATTATACAAAGTATATCATATCAACTATCAGCCACATATAAACTATCTACTATCTAGAATAATCGATCAACGATAAATGGCTAGCAGAAGTCCTAAAGAATTGGATGGACATTTTTTTTGTTTTTTTTTTAGTCATGTAGTTAGCACCAAATGTAATAATATACATACATAAATGATTACATATACTACGAGTATTGTTGAATAACTATTCCATCTACTTGGATTGTTTTCTCGTTTTAAAGCCAAGCTCAGGGCACACTCACACACAAAAACACACACCTACCGCACTCTACAATGCTATTAAGCGTAAACTATATCTTATAATATATACACTAAATAAATTTCGCTGAATTAAGGAATATATATTATATTAGACAACGCAACAGATAGACAGATAGAAAGTCATACGTGTACGACATATAGGAAATGCATACCACGATTACGGATCCTACTTCTCCTCGTACTAACTACTATCCAATCCGATAATTACGACTCAAAATAGTCGAATTTGGAGCTGCTTTGTGACCATAGCTATAAAAAATATACTGATTAAAGGGCATACAAATGTGTATTGCTGCACACACAATGCGTTTCAGTAAACATAAAGAAAAGAAAAGAAAAGAAAAGAAAAGAAAAGACAGTTCCGAAACGAACCATACAAACTAACCTACACACGTTACATTAAGTATGAATATTGAATAAGTCTGAAATGGCAGACTGATGAGGCTTTTACCCTGTTCAAATGATCCTCAAATACCCAAGTTTTTGTCATAGTTACAGTAAACCGACCCGAATAGGCAATTAAGAAGGTTTTTTTTGCAGTTTTTATCGACCTAATTGTTTATCGCACCCTTTTCCAACTGTTCTGGTTTAAATCATTAATCAATATTTTCCCTCTACTCTTGAGTTTCAACAGATTGCAATTTCTTTTCTTTCCATTTTTATTCATTTTTCCTGTCTCTATCGATTAACTTATCGTTATCTTTATCGATTATTCATCGTTTTTCATTTAATCTTTATTAAACATTTATTTTACATTGATTTACTTTACTTTAATATTCTTTTTTGCTTGATTTGTTTCGCCTTATAGTAACGATGAGTCCCTGGGAGGCACCGAACCGCCAGTTGTGTAAGGGATACGCACACACACAACACGCGAATCAGCAACCGAAATTAGCTTTTTAATTAATTAACAAACAAAATGAAGCCCAATTTTTATATTGTATATCGTACATGCACGCACACACTTGTACGCGAAGGATGAAATAACATTTACGACATGTTCTGTGTGTGTCGAGACCCAAAACTATGATTGCTTCTTCGATCCTTAAGTCTAAGTTAAAGATTGTAGCAAGAAAAAGATGAGAGAAATATCACAAACAAAAAAAATAAAAAATAAAAGCCATATGAAAAAGTGAGACGACACGAGAACCGAATCGAAAAAGAAACAGAAAACAATAATAACAATAATAACAATAATATATAAAGATTAAGGCCTAACTAACTCTACAACAAAGAAAGAAAAAACCGCATACTAGCCAACAGAAACACACAGAATGCAAAAGTAACGACAAAGAACAGGCAACAAGCAACAACCAGAGAAATGCTCAATGGCAGATGCATTTTAATTATACATAATTATAGTTTATATTTTATTATTATGAAGTATGTTTTTTTTTCCTGTGTAAACCCCCAGTGTAAAATGCTCTAAAATTAACATTCGATGGAAAAAATGTAATTGGAAATTTGTGAAATAAATATGCAGCCAGCCACCCATCATACAATTATCATATACCGAATACGAAACCACCCACTGTGCTGGATGTATGTAAAAACGAACGAAACACGCACAGTGGGAGTGGAAGAGCGCATAAGCAGGCAAAACAAACAACCGCAAAAAAAGAATAAATATATATTACAAAACGAAAGCTACAATAGATTGAAATGTGTTTTACTCTCCCAGGCATCATGGCCCTTCTACTAAGGGGTATCAAAACAACAATAATTTGGCACGTGTTGGGCGGTGGAATGGTATGGGGTGGGGCGCAGGAAACAGGAATCCAAGCAGTAGGAGGGAGGACCCGCCGTACCGACCGAAACTCTGCGCGCTGAAGGCAGGCAGGCTGGCAGGCAGGCAGGCGCGCGCAGCTTCCCAATATCGCCGTGCATTCGGGCGCTTCGGCACTGGCACTGGCACTCGGACATGCCAGAGCATCCGGCGGCTGGCCGAGTCGGTCGTAGCCGAACCACCACCACACTCACTCAACTTCGTGCCGTCAAGCAGTTCAGACGTGTCCGGTGCGAGAGAAGAGTGGAGCGAAACTGCTTTTGCTTTGGCGGGTTCCCAAATCGTGTTTGCTTATCCCCTTTCGAAAGCCTACAGCTACCGTGAGTGTGAATTGGTTTCCCATCAGAGCCAGGTTTTATTTTGCTGTTCTTTTTTATTGTTTGTTTGATTGTTGTTAATACTATTAACGAATGCTAGTTCCGGCCACAGAGAGAGCGAGAGTTTGAGAGGGAGCTACGAATAGTGAAAAATCAAAGGGAAATTCTCAAAATAAATCGTTGCGCGAGGAAAAAGTGCGTGTGCCAAGAGATTGTTTATTTTTAAAACGGGCAAACGGCAAACCGGCAAAATACAAAATACAAAATACAACAACAACTCAAAACATATACACAATAACAATAAATTATATTCGCATCATTCATTCAATAAACCAACGACAAAACAGCAAAAGGCAAGACACCAAGGTGCAGCAGCGCGAACACAATCGATCGGTCGACAATAGATCATCAGATTGGATCGGTCTAGATCCCAACAGCAGATCAGCGGATGTGACTAAAGATCAAGGGACCCCCGAAAATTGCGGTTCAGTGTGTGTGTTGTTTTTTTTTTAGAGTGTTTTTGTAAAGGCTTTGAAAATGCCATAAAATCTTTAATAGGTTTATTTTATTTACGAGTATTTGGGTTTCCTCTCGTCGTCGTATTCCGTCGTTTGTGGGAAAAAATGGCAAGCATGCCCTCAAAAGTGATCAAAATCTAATCAAAATATTTACCGTTTTGCCTGCGGATTGTCGGACTCAGTCGACGATCACATCACCCTTCGGTGAATCGGTTCACCTCCACCTCCGGCTGCCTTCCTACAATTGCACAGGTGAGTGTCGGGTCTTTTTAACGGTATATTGACTGCCTGCCTCGCGTTGCAAGTAGCTCGAAAGTAGTTCATCTGGTCAGCGCTGTCCATAAATGTCAGAGCCCCATCGCCATATCGATCGATTCCAGTTGACAACTCTTCTCCTCCTCCTCCTCCTCCTCCTCCTCCTCCTCCACCACCACCGCCTTCTCCTTCACCGACTCCTTCTGCTCGCCGCATTGATGGTCATGTGGTTATGTCCTTTTTTGGGTGGGCGGCTCACCAGTTTGGCGACTGGCCACTGTACACGCCAGTCGCCAATTGCCGTTACTTTGTGGGTCATCGAACAAGTGTTGCATGTTGCGTGTTGCACATCGGACTTTAGCTGGGATCCAAACCTCCTCCCCCTCCTTCAATGGGAAAGCTGCCTTCCAGCTGTTTTTGTTGTTGTTTTTGCAGCATGTAAGGTAAGCGGGGAGTAAGGGGTAGGGTTAGGTCCCGTCATCCTTTATGTCCCCACCCCGCACCCAACTTGTTGATGGCACTAATGAACTGTCTACGAGACTCTGCCACAAGAATAGAAACCAGAAAGAGGCACAGAGAGAGAGTGCATAACTAGTTGTTTTGTGAGAGACACGCACATTCCTGTATGCATCAGGCAACAAGAACATGATCTAGAAAGGTATGTCAAACAGAAGGTGAGGCCATTCCACTGCCATTTCATTCTCAACGCTCTCCCGCAATTCTTTGCATTCAAAATTCTTCAAATATTTTCAATTATTAATAAGATAAAATCATTTTTGAAACACATTTGAGCAGTGAGTGAGTGATACTCTGTACCTTACCCTTTGCCGGCTAAATCTATCATGAGATGAGCCTAACCGGACCCCGACATCCCAATCCCAGAGAGATCCCAGAGAACGAGAACATGGCTCGCTCTTTCCTGCTAACAATAAATCAAAAGGCAGAAAAATGTAAGGGGCAGGAAAAGCCCAGAGAGCAGCAGAGCATAATAAAAATGAAGGCAAGTGTCGTCCGAGACGTCCGTCGTTCCCTCATTCTGCTGCAAAACCCAAAAAGGAATTGGAAATGAGAAAGAGAATGGGAGAATGGTGGGCACTGGACAGAAGAAGAGGGCCCTCTCCCTGGCCCTGGGCATCTCGCATCTCGCATCTCTTTTGTTATTCCTGCTTCTCATTCTTTTTAACACTGCCTGTTGATGGGATTTCATTATTACTTTCGATTGTTGTGCCCCGACCCTTGGATGCTGTTGTGCGCCCATTGAGACCAGATTCCCTTCTTGGTCTTCTTCGTTTTTTTTTTTTTCGATTCATCGAAAATGCAGACAAACAAAAAGGTCTCTGGGTCCAAACAAAAATAAACACACAACGAGCGAAGAGCAAGAGCAGCAGCATCAGCAGCATCATCATCATCATCATCCTCATCAGTCCCATCCTCAATCCTCATCGACAGAGCATCGTCATCTTATGGGAGGGCTCCTCCTTTGGACCACTCTAATCGCATAAGCAGATAGAACACAGAAGAGAGAACCCAGAAAAAGAACCAGAATCAGAATCAGAATCAGGGCCCAAACCGGTGTCCAGGGCCACACACTGTTGGGTAAAAAGGTAGAAAAATAAATAAAGCGATAAATGGAAAATAAATTTCAACAAAAATTGCTTTTCAAGTGGCTCTCCTCAACAGAGCAGAAACAGATCTATCCTTAGTTTCTTCTCGTAGCTGGCATCTCCGTTGTCCGTTGCTACCGACTTGAAATACATAGGTAAATGGGAATAATGACCCGTACTTGGAATGACCCATGAAATCAGGGTCAAGACCATAGACAAATCATATGTCTGATCTGTTAATTAAGCAACTTGGAATACAGGTTGAATTTGCCCCATCTAAAACATGTCTAAAACCAATCTACTCCCCAATCTGCATACTCTACGTACGAAATGTGAAATACGAAATCATTTCTTCAGATCTTTCAATTTTCTTTGGTGGGGATTTCTCATGGCCAAAGCAATCGCGTATCGATTCTCTCGCACACCATTAATAATGATCCACTGATCCAGTTATTCTCCCCCTCTTACCCAGATGATCCCCTCTATCATTTTCATAATGAGGAAAACAGAAAATGCATCACAAAATTAGACATTGACACCTTTTTCTCATGCGGAAGATCCATTGAGGTTTTTTCCCCCACAGATTCCAAATTCCGATTCCGATTCCGATTCGTGTTTTTCTGCTTTTTGGAACCGTAAAAACGGCGCATAAAAATTATTTCACGCTACGGCTACACGGAATCGAGGGCCCCCAAAAAAAGAAAAACAAAAACAAAATTATGATTAATGTTGAAAACATAAATTGGATTTGATTTCTGTTTGTTTGCTGCCCTGCTGCTGCTGTCGCTGTCGCTGCTGCCTTCTCGGGGCCTCCGTTGTGTCGTTTTTTTCAGTTTCTTCGGTGTTTGGTGTTTTTTTTTGCGCTAGGTAGCCGATGCCGCCGCCTGTTCATTAGCACAGACTAATCATTGGAGCCACAAGAGAGTCAGAGTCTGTTGCTGTTGCTGCGGCTGCTGCCCCACGGCAGCGTGCGGCATTGGAAAAGTGGAGAGGGAGAGGCAGGGCTGCCCAAAGGTGGCAATCAACATGAATGAATGAATGAATGGTCCACGGAATGGGCTCTCGATCTGTGAATGAGCCGCAGATTCAGAGACAGAGAGTCTGAATGGAGGAGAGGCTGCAGAGCTCTCGAGTAGGGTTCGAGTTTCGTTTCGTTTTTGGTTTTTCTTTTTGTTTTTGTTGCTTTTGTTCGCCTTTCCTTCTTTCTTTCTTGGGCGGAAGTGTAATTGCATGCTGGGATTGGGATTGGGATTGGCCCGGATTCGGAGTGAAGACTGGGGCTGGTCCTCCCCGTCTTACCAAATCAATCTGAATGGCAGACGCGACGGTGGCGGTGGCGGTGGCGGTGGCGGCGCCTTTGCGCAGCCTCAAATTAGCCCCGAAAGTAGGTAAGCGAGAGAGGGAAAACGGAAGCGCATTACGACGTAATGTGATCGCGCAGACATGAATGGTGGTGCCACGCCCCTCCTCAGATCACAGTCACAGTCCTTGAAAAATCATAGATTCCATGATCAATTAAGCAGAAGGTAATGTATCTTTCAATTGGAATCTCTTTTTGTGTTAGTCAGTGTTAAAATATGAAGCTGCTCCTTGACTTTTTGCTGCACATATCCTCCTGTAGTCAGTCACGCTCTCTGTTCTTGGAAGGACTGCTTTACCTTCTGTCGAACACCCTTTCC